TGCTCTATGACATACTTTGCAAGTGTCATCTGGTTCTATTTAAAAAAATATATCTTTGTGTTGTCTGTACGTTAGACGTGAAGGTAGAGGCAGCAGGGGTACGCCTAAGTCAGCATAAAGATTTGAAACAGAGAGAAACGGATAGCCTGGCTCTGTCCAAAGCTAAAAAAAACCTAAGCAGATCCCCTAAAGCTCACTTAGTAACACGTTATATCTTGTTTGTGTAAGTGACAGGAAATCAGTATAATTGGTGAAGAAATCAGTATAATTGCTAAAGCGTATAAGCTAAGCTGAGCTAACTGACTTTAAATTTAGTGTACAGACATTAGGGTGGAATCAATATTAATATGAATAATAATAATAATAATAATAATAATAATGATAATACAAATGTGTATGTTTACTGTAGTTTTCAAGTTCAGTGGCAGCAAACAGTGTAAGTCATGTGTGTTGAATGTGTGCAAACAAACCCAAGGATGGTGTAAAGGAGAGAGATGACTATACAGCTTGAAGAAACATGAAGATGCAGTCTTGAACCTTAAAATTTAATGCGGACCGGATGAATCATGACTGAATCTTTGTTTTTAAGTATTTCAAGTTCCCATGAGAAGAATTTGATGCAGATTTATTTTGGCATCTTTCTCAGCCTAAAGCCGCGACTGACCTGAGAATAGCTCGCTCTCAACTAATCATAAATGTCAATTCTTCTGCAGACTCTAAAAGAGCTGAGAAGATGAGTTATGACAGTAGCGGAAATGAATAACTTATTTTTCACACTCCTCATCAGACCTATGAGTTGCAGCTGAAAATAAAAATGTTTGGTAGAAGCTAACGCCCAGATTTGTTAGTACAGGAAGAAATTAACATAATTCAATTGAACAAAAGAAATAACCATAAAATGACTTTATGACTACAAGGCTTCTCTTCCAGTGTTCTCAATCTACAGACGATTTCAAGCCTTGCTGACAGCGTGATGAAAACATTACTGTAAGCCATATAAACACACTGCTTTTCCCACCCTGCAGTGGTGGCATCCTCCTCCTTCCACCTCTTACTGTGTCTAAGGTTGATCTGCCCAGAGACAGCACTAACAAGCCAGAACCGCGGGGGTAATGGTGGCTCCGTCACTGCTTGGGCAGTTATCCAGAAACATACAGTACATGGACACACAGGGAATGAGAGAGTGATCGGGCCAGCAGGCAGAGAGGAAGGCGGGGAGGGAAGCTGAGTGAAAGAGCTGCCTCAGGGATAAGTACAAAGGAGAGGAAAGGACACCAAAGAGCAAGAAAACACTCTTGGCATCATATTTCTGATTATGATTATGATTATGAATGATTAATTAAGTCATGTTTCAAGAAATAATTTGCTGAAAAGACTTTTTGGGATTTGGACAATTTGAAAATGTGACCATGGGTTCTGGGAAACTGTGAGAAGAAAAAATAAATGATAGATTAATCAATAATAAATATGAAGCCCCAAATTTCCCCTTTTTATAATTCCATTCTGATTGATATTACATATAGCCAGATACAAAATACAACCAGAAACAACTGTTTTCAGCAGCAGGATTAAATTAGTGCAGCGTTACAGCAGCTGAGGCACCAGCGTCCTGCATGGATTTTGTGTGTAGTTGGAGTTGTGCATGTATGTGTGTGTTTGTGTGTGTGAGAGTGTTGTACAAGTGGTGCTTGAGTCAGTTATTCTCCACCAGCTGGGGCTTGGACTGAGGGCAGACAACCAGTGCAAGTGGACATAAGTGTCACCACGGAACATATGCAAACACAGTAGGGACATGCAAATCTGGCCAGCTTGCACATACACACCTGCACACACAAGGGCATTTACTCAATGGACTCTAGATATGGAAAACAAATCAATCAATAATACATGCTTCAGGCAAGAAGTGATTATTTTTGCATACACTATGCAGCAGTCAGTTATCTGTTTCGAGCATACAGATATAACTCAGTATGTGGTAAGACACACTCTTTGAAAGTTTTTGAAAAATTAACTAGCTGGATGAAACAGAAGATACCTATAAAAGAAAAAATGGATGGAGTCCCAGAAGCAATTCCGAATTTCCATTTGCCCTTTATGCACCTCTCCCGAGTACAGCTCAAGCAGACGTGATGTTATTGAAGTGGCAGGTTTGCACTCATTCAGCCTCATACTCATAAAAGTGTGCGACAGACAGATAGGAACCAGGACGTGGTTTTTTTTTTTGTTTGTTTGTGTGTGTGTGGAAGTAATATCACCTCCGGAAAATGTTCCCTCTCGCGAGAGCAAAGACATGACGACAGACAGACAGACAAACTGACGGACAGACAGGCAGGTGGGGGAGCAGAGAATACAATGGGTGCAGATGTTAACAGATGACAGGTCACAACGAAGAGCACTGCTGCTGTAACAGCAAAGTTATAGCTGACATTTTTAGTAAAGATTTTACTAGGCAGGATTTACAAATAATGCAAAAGTAAGTGGACTTTTCGCACAGAGGCACAAGAGTAAAACCCCTTATTGTATGTTAAAGGACTACTGCTATAGGCCCTTTTCCTCTTCTGGCAGCTTTGTTTTTATTCGGCTAATATTTCTCACTTTCATTGTCTTATTTCTCTCCATTTCATCCTTTCCCGAAAGTTTTTTTTCTCTCTGCTTCTTTGTCTCTTGTCTGTCTCATCATGTTCTCTCCCGTCATCCGCCACATCATCCAATAATCCATAAGTGTGAGATATCAGCAGGACAGTGCTCTGCTGCCGGCTGTATCAGGCTGTCTCTTCACTTTAACTTTCTGCTGTAATCTGCGCGAAAGATCACTCGGATTCTGCGTGCGAGTCAAAAGAAAATCTTTAACTAGTCAAGCAGTGGAATAGAAGGACACTGGGAAGAAAGTTGGAGATGTAACTACATTATATAACAGTGCATGTATAATGTAACGTGGCCCGTGTTGCCAGTCATACAGGCAGCGCATGTGATGTTATCATGTTTTTTTTATTTGGCTATATATATACAGTGAGCCAACTGTACAAGAAACGCCCACTGATGGACTAATTTTAAATCTCTGACATAACTGTGTTTTCAATCATTCTGTTTCTTGCATCCGTCTTTTTAGTTTTTTTAAAATCTTTTTTAAAGCACAGTGTATTGTATATTTCATTAAATGTGCTATGTAAACAAAGTTTTTATATATTCCTATTATTTTCATTATCATTATTATTGTTATTATGACTTACAGACAACAGGGATTCATCTTTCCCCCTGGATAAATGTGTATGTTTTGGCGCTTGTGCTTTCGTGCAGATGTAATATAATTCTTACAGTACGTATCTAGATGTAGCTTAGATTGCTCATGTTTCTGTGGTTCATTACCCAATCAACTGCATGTGAGCCTTAAATTAATTTTAAATTAAGTCAACTACTTGGTCCAGGGAAATAATCTAGCAGGTAACCAATAACCCTGATAATCCCTGACAATCCCTGACATACAGAATCCTATACTCCCCTTCTACATGTAATTATCAGCGGTTCATTTAGTCATTTGGATTTTATGACATGGATATTAAACACTGAAGAGGCACTAAAAAAGGACAACAGAGACTTTATGTAGGGCTGCAAATCATTTTTTCCCCTTGATTACTTGATAACTATTTGGTCTATAAAACATCCGAAAACAGTGCCCATCCTAACATCCTAAAGCCCACTGTTATGTCATCAAACATCTTTTTATGTCGGTCCAGAATTCCAAAACCCATAAATATTTCATTTAGTAGAACACCAAGGAAATCTTGAATCATCAGTTTTTTGGCATTTTTGATGGCTCAAACAATAAAAATAGTTGCTGATTGATTTTCTGTCGATCAGCTAATTGACTAATCAACTTATCACTGCTGCTCTGATATGCTTTATACTTTCTTAAGCATTTTCTCGGGACCGGGCGACCCTTATCCTAGACCAAACTGACTGGTGTCATGATTAGAGATGACACTGTATAAATAACGATGAGGCTTTCTATGTTGGCAGCGAGGAGGTAATATTCACCTTCTGTGTCTCTCTTACACAAAAACACGGCCTTCAGCTCCTCCTTCTGTCTCCTGGTCCTTTGGCTCCCTAGAATCTCCGTAACCGACCTTGAGCTGTGAAGCCCTGTCAGCATCCGCTTCTTGTTCCTCTATGCATGTATGCATAATGACTAAAGGTATGAACCCTGTCAGCATTCATTATTCAGACTGGACCACACAACACTTCTCTCCACTTGGAATTCTTAGTATGTGGAAGCCAAAGAAACATGAACAATAACAACAAAGCATTTTGGAACTTGAGTAAATATGAGTGTGTAATCTAAGAACTTCTTCACAGAAAGTCTTGATGCCCTTTGGTCTCCGCACATTCTTTTCAGGGGGATCCTTGTCTTGACATTTGGATCGATGACTGAGCCACCACACAAACTGTAGTGGACAACTCTGAAGATCCAATTTCTGAGGGATTTCTGAGAAAGAATACATATCTTGGCAAAGTACCCAAAGGCTCAGAGTCGCAGCAGAGTTACCTGAAAGTAATGACTGTTGCTATGCATGCACAGGGAAGGAATCTTCAAACAATGAAACACCACAATGGTGTGGGAGGCTGCTCTTGCAGACTCCTGAGCTTGCAATATAGACAGGACAGTTTCCTATATATTCACTGCATGGAAACAGCATAAATTATTCACTTTTTTTTATGATTATAACTTATTCACACAGGATGAACCTATGGGATTATGGGAATAGAGAATGCTTTATGTCACCCAACTGGAGGAGTTGCAACTAAATGAAGTCTTATTAAACTATTGCTCATTTTGCTGTGGACCCTGGAGACCACATAACGACCCCTGCTGGCCCCCACTCTGACTCTCCTCTGGACGGCCACAGATAGCAGCTGAGAGCATATTAACACAACAAACAGTCACAGTGGGGATGCAGTTTATCACACATACACCTGACTGCAGCAGAACCGGGTCCTCCTACCTCCTGTAACTGCTCCAACTCCTTCCTGAGAGTCTCCTGCTCGGTCTCCAGGTCTACATACTTCTGCTTCAGCGTCTGGTTCTCCTCCAAGACGACCAGACCGCACTCCGCAGCCCTGATCTTCTCCCGGTTCGCCTCGGCCAGTTCTTGGGTGAGCCGCTCCAACTCGGCCCGGTACTGATCCACCGATTCCCCGCATCCTCCATCGGCGGCCATCGCCCCTCTCTGTGTGTCCCCCTGTCGGTCTGCGATTCCCACTGTGTTGGACAGAGCCACAGACGCGGGCGGAGGCTGCGAGATGCTGAATACCCGCCCCCCCTCTCCTGAGAGAGCCAGTGCAGGCAGCCAGGCAATGCAAATATACAAATATAAATAAATAAACAATATTTACATCTACCTCAAAGGGTTGTTAAACAGCAACTAACAGATAAATAACACTGAAACGGCCATAATGTGTGTTACATAGAGAAGCCTTGCGGTTTAAAATCAGGTCAGTGTCTCCAGTAGGACACTCAGCAAAACATCATTTCTGCTTATTCATGGGTGCAAGGGCGCCACCTGTCCGCTGCTTCGAGGCATTGCGTCGAATATTTCTCTTTCTCGCTCTCTTTCTGCCCATACAAACTGTACACTCCTCAAAATCCTAGTTGCAACCAGTCACATCCTTCCACAGACTTTGAAGCACATTTTTAATGTAGGACCCCTGCATGTGCAAGATAAATGGCCCTGCGTGCTCTCAGTTTTCACATGTATGATGTATGATGGATGGATGAACAATTCATTGCTGAAACTCTGGTATTGCATAAATAAAAATAAAAGGGAGTGAATGTGATTTCATTTTACAGGTTTTCACATAACAGAGTCAGCCTGCAGGTCTCCACCATTGTATGTGTGTTATTATTGCTGATGCATTCATGTGTAGGCCCGGTTTTACTGCTATATTTGGTCGATGTGGAGCTTGTACTATTTTATATATTGCTGGGTAGTTTAACATTTTTTACCTTCAACATATGATGAACTTTTGAAACTTAGGAAAACATGATGCACTGTTGTCATGTTTTACAAGTCCATCATATGTTTTGTGCATAAACCCTGTCAGATAAATGTAGTGGAGTAAAAAGTACAATACTAGTAGAAGTAGAAAGTAAAAGGCACCTTACTTTACCTTAACATTTCACTGCTGTTTAGACTCTCAGAGCAAACATGAGCTGTGATAGGAAAAGCACAGGTCTCAGTGTGAAAAATGTAGAAAAATGTGAAGGCCCTATCTAGAGCCAGTGTTTGGTTTGTCCATTCTGGACTACTGTAGAAACATTGAGGTTCAACATGGCGGCCTCCATGGAAGGTGTATGTATGATTGCTAAAAAGAACATAATAAAGAAAGAGAATTGTATAAAAAAGCCCTGAAAGGGAAACAAGGAAAACTCATCTCTAATGCAGTATTTACAGGAAATAATCTGCTCAACATTCATCCAAATCTCTCATTTTACAAAAACTTCCTGATGTTATTGCATTCACTGTTTGGGTTAATTGTACAGTTTATCAGTTGATCATACTGTATGATATGAATGTCCATACTTAGTCAGTGGTTGTAAGCTTATTCAATGATAGAGAAAAGGGGGTCCCTTAAGGAAAAAGCGGTGGGGCCAGTGTTCTAAGGTATTTTCAGATGATTATACACTAATAAAGAAGATGAATATAATATTCCATTTCTGCCAATAGATCCCCTAAACGTTACGCACTAGTGATTATCTAAGTGCCCTGTTCATAACTTTTTATCTGTTGCTCCCAAATGGACAAAAAAACCCACAAACCTCCTGTCAGAATACGACACAAACTGTGTAGGTTATACAGTTACACCAATCATACAGCAAATATTCAAACTGACTACTTGAAGCTCACTCTTGAGGTTGTGTTTATTCTGCAGAATTCCATTACTGATTTCTTTGAGGCCGTTACATTCAGACTAAGCTCATATTAGCACGGCTCAATAAGGTGTTCACTGTTTCACCGTCATGTTATCAACATGCTTTCCATACAAAGGAGTCCTGTCAAAGATAGTTCCTCTTACAGTCTCCAAGCCAGTCCTGTTCTAATTTACTGTATAAACCCTTCAATAACCAAAACATTTATAATATGTGTTTTTTAGTGGTATCTCATGTGTTACGTCTTTGTGCTGAATAAATACCATTCAGAACAACAACAATGAATGTATGGCCTGCCATCTCCATGTCATGAGAAGCATTTTTGCTGTAAATGTGCTCACCTGACTTAGATGCCACTTTTTATTATTAAATAATGGTTACATAATCATGGTCAAGGTTTTTCGTTTAATGCTCTCCATTAACTATTTTTGTCCTCTTTAACACCACCATGCAGCCAGGCGTAAGATAAAGTGTCTTACAGCAAATAGGTGCAATAAAAGAGGATACGGCCGGGGTGAAAAGTTTAACCAGACTAGGAGGCCTGTTAGGTTTAATCAGTTATGATACTGATAGTAAAGATGACGCTGTTTTATCTTTATTATAATTGCTAATTATTTCAAAAATGGCCTATGTAACACTTCTTGGAAAGGAGGGGATTTTAGTGGTTCACGTCATTGTTGGAGGCATTTCACAAAAGAATATCACTGTCATAAGAAGCAGGTTTGAAGGTGAATGGGAGCAACAGGGGCAGTTAAAATACATGTGGTCACATTAAAGGTTGTGGAATTCATTTACAGTAGCTTAGTGTGTATGATCGGTTTAGCAAAATGAATTAAGGCATCCATATATGCATGGTTTCTTTGTACTTTTTTTATTCATGTCACAATTATTTTACATTACATTTATCTACAGTACCAATGTACAGCAACTGTCTGCAGGTTCGTTGGTATTTTCCCTTTGATCTTATTCAACAAGTTCTATAAATTCCCTGACCCCGGCTGACCTGATTTATGAGGCCAAATTAAGATAAGGAAAGGTTGTCAAAAAGTCAAACAGATGAACAGTTTATGGCAGTGCTGTATCTTATCTATGACAAGGAAGTGTGGTGTCATGAAAAAATCTAAATGCTCTCCTGCCCAATAACACAGCACAAACGCAGCTGTCTAACAAGAATGCCGCAGTACCAAATGTCCTGAGACCTTAATCTGTATGAACAAATACATCAGTACAGATGAAAACCAACTGAATGCTTCTAGTAACCGGCCACAATATTAATATTTAATATCAGCTTCATTGGTAAATGAAAAGACGTTCAGTTTTTAACATGCAAACTTTATTTCAGGTTGACAACACAGTATATACAACACATTTTGTCAATTACTCATCAATTAAACAATTATAGCTCACAGATTACAGTCTACAGCAGTTGTGTGTATCACAGGTTACTCATTATAATCTTTGTACCACATACATAATAATGTCATTATAAGGACTGAAGGTGCTATCTGTCTGTTCCCAGTGGGTCAAAATACAGGGTCCTGTGATCTGGGGAATATGTGTTGCTCAGCAAGACGGGTGTTGAAGTCGCTCCGAGGAACAGCCTTGATTGGAGGGGTTTAGGTAAGCAGCAGGGCAGCCAGCATGCTGCATGCAGCTGGGGCTTCTGTAAGAGCTGGGAGAATGCATATGTGATGAGAAGTTATCTCAAAGAAATGACAAAGGGATCATTGATTTAACCTGTGATGGCCCTAAAGTATGAGCACTTCTGATTAGATACCTGCTTTAGTCCAGTGTCAAACCAAACTGTTGTATTTGTGAAAGTATTGATGTGTGACACAAAATGTCAACCTTATTTATTAATTATCTATGTAAACTACGGGTTGATCTTACAGAACTGTAATTATTAAGATGATGATGATGATGATGATGATGATGATGATGATGAAAATGGTAATAGTAATAATATGTAACTGTATATGTTATATAGAAAAACATACATACAGTATTATATATGTATTCATAATTATTTTTCAAATGTTTTTATGATTTCACTTCCTATTTTAAAATGTATACATATGTTGTTTTTTTTTTTACAAAATAAATAGTCTGGTGTTACCTCATAATAAAGCAGGGGCTGACTGGCTGGCAGTATGTGCTTATTAGTCATCAGTTCGATATCCTTCAGTGTTTCAGCTTTCCTCCATTTGGCTCTGCGGTTCTGAAACCAAATCTGAAGCACAGACAACACACATTAAATAAATGTACCTATAATAACATACTTACAATTTAGCCATATACAGTATATGTAGCAGAGTAAAGAAAGACCTTTTTTGTTATCGCTTTCCTCTAAAGACAAATCATACTACATACCAAAATGATTGCAACGTTTTTGAGAACTTCCGACATCCACTTTGTTTCCAGTCTAGTTCCAGGAGAAAGCTATTAAGAACTAATGTTATGTTACATAACGGGTTGTTTTCTACCCAAGGTTAAAGTTATTGTGTTGGTGCTGTATTGTATTTTTGTGCAAACTATTACGCACAATTTATCATTTTATCATGCCTTATCAGCAGCTGTCCAAAGACCATTACAATTGTTCCATTGATTACTATTTAGTATAATCAGTCCATTGTTTGAGAACATTCAATGAATTGTTAGTCACCCGAGTTTGACTTATTGACTCCTTCTACAATTAAATGTCAGCAATAAATCAGTTGTAAAATAAGGGTTATGTGTGATCTGTGTTTGTTGGTTTAATTAAAGAATAAAATTGTGATACAGGTTTGAAAAGGAAAACAAAATTGTTGATTTTTTTTGTTGTAATTTAATTTTATCAGAATAATGTCACATTATTAAGCATTGCCTCACTTTATTAGGCTGAATAGTGCAGCATTTGAACAAACCAACCTTTCATGTATTATTGAATATAGCCTTGATGGTTTTTGGTAAAATTATACAAAACTGTCACGTATGGACACCAGTGCAAACAATTACAGACCATCATAGTCAAACAAACTCTCGAACTGGCACTTAATTATCACTAATGATGAGCTGCATGTGTCCTACCTGTATTCGGCTGTCATTGAGGTGCAGGCAAGAGGCTAACTGGTCTCTGGCGTTGACGTCTGGGTAGTGACTCTGCTGGAAGACTTTCTCCAGCTCCTGCACCTGGAACGGTGTGAAAGTAACCCTCGTTTGCCTCTTTTTCCTCTGACCTGTAAACAAATGATCACTGTCACTGACATCTTCCTCATCAGCATCATTTAAACGTACACATAAACATGTGTGTGACACAGTGAGTTATTCCTGATTCTTCTTCCTTTTAGTCTTTTATAAATTATAATACTCACTCATGCAGTCTGTTGCGGCTTTTGGAGAGTCTTCAAGCAGTCTGGTTTGTGGAGTTTCTACTGGCAGAAAGAAAATTCCAACATTAATGAGAATATATATGTTTTTTAAAATGAAAACTATGATGTTGCAAGAGAGAGCAATGAAAACCATACCTGTGGATGAGAACTGGTTAGATATTCTGGTGTTCTCCTTGATAACGGACCAGTTACGATGAACTCTTTTCTCTTTTCTGACACACGTGGGCCTCCTCAGTATTTCTTCAATCGAGTGGGATAATTTTTTACGTGGTTGAGATTCTCTTTCTTCGTCTATGCAGGACTCTTTCTCTGTATCTCCTTTATTCCACATTTCCAGCAGTTTACCCCCCGCCATCAGCACCTTTGTCATCAGATGTCTGTCTCCTGTTATCTGGCTTCTTCTTTGGCTCTCTGGTATCTTTGTTGCACTCTACTCTCTGCAAGGTGAGAGAAAGGTAAGGCTGTCCTCCCTCTTCTGTCAGCCTGTGTTTGACCTGCACCACATGGTCATTATTAGGGAGGAGCAACAGGCAGTATAACTGCGGACTTCTAGGAAAAACCCACAATCAGCATTCACTGATCTGTCAGTAATTTCAAGAAATCTATGGTGTTCTCATTACAAATGTGTAAATGTATACTCTCCTGATATTCCTATCTGTCCTTATCACCCTTTCTACTTACACCATTTAATAGAACTGACTTGTTACATATAGTACAGTGCCTTCAGTGTAAATGGCATAAAAACAAATTCTTGCATTGTAGGAGCCAAGCTCAGAAAACATCTCTGTGGTTCTGTAGTTTGAGTAATACCTAGATAATATTCAGCTGTAAAACATATTTAAATTGTTGCTTCTCTTTCTTTTCACCATATTTACACCTTTATCACACTGGCCTCCGTATGCCCTCTCACAGCTCAGTTCACCTTTCAGTAACACTGAGACCACTAGATAAAAGGAGATAATGTCTCATATGTTTAGCATGTCTCCATCTAGTGGTGTTGGCTCTTCAGTGCATTCATTTTTGATTCTCTGACTATAAGATTGTATTCCTGTATATTGTGTCAAAGGTTAGGTGATTTAAATGGAACCAAAACAATGTGAGAATAAAGGATTAGTTTAAAGCTTTTGTGTTTTGGTATAGCATGGCAACATGTAAAGGGAAAGGCGAATCAATTATTTAATTGTGTTTTATTAACAATATCATATTCCTGTAACTCCTAAACAGTTTGCTATGGTCTTCAGTGCTGTCCCATTTGGTGTGTTTATGCTGTACTGAAAGGTTGTTTTTTAATGGTTTCTTTTTTTGTTTATCCTTTGATTTGCCTATTTAGGTATCTGTTTTAATTGTATGTTACTGTTTATGTATATCATTGTATTGTTAAGTAAATTGACATTTTAACACATGACACGTGCACATAATGTGAAGTTACAATGTTTATATAACCATTTCTAACATTTTTTACAGATAAAGTATTGCTCTCTATTCAGCAGCATTTTGGATAATATTGAAATAAAAATGAAAATTAGATTTTTTAAAATTTTATTTGGTCAGACACTGTGCACAGCTGTAGGTGTACTCAAGTAAACACGTATCAGATAAAACAACAGATTTTCCCTCCATCCAGTATGGTTTGCAACATGAACGTGAACCCTGCAGGTGGTGCTGTTTTCAACCTCTTAGGTCACAAAATGTGACCTACATGTGTCTCTCGTGGTCTGTGATCTAGTGTGCAGAGTGTGGACACGTGAGTGGACATAAAAAAAGATTACAAACATGCTCTATTAAAAGGGAAGCTTACAGTTCATTAATTGTGAAACACATATTAATATACAGTATTGTGAAAAATACACATTTTATGAATCAAAGTTTTGCTCTCTGTTACAGATGAGCTGGAAACAAAGGTTAAGGTAATTGTAAGTGATTATTCAAATGCACACAAAGCTCCACTTGTATTACAATTTGAAGAGTCGCAGGATGAAATGAGACTGGATGAAATGAAACCACAAAGAGCCAAAACATTTTGACTTAGGCAGTTTTTGAATATCACAGACTCCCAGGTTTTCAGGTTGTCACTCTGGACTTCACAGCATGCTACAGTACATATAAGGACTTCATTGTTTTGTTATTCAACTATCTTTGCTGCTGTTTCAGTTGATCATAATATTGATATCAGAACTTTAAATGACAAAAATATAAATTATCTCTAAATACATCTCTTATTTTCAACATTTGCAACACATTCTTCTGTAAAAGATTCCCTGTCCTCAGAGACTGACTGCACACTACCTCTCACCCAATTTGATTATGGAAGAGTCTCTCAGACAACACGTCCAAAAAGTACACTGTCTCTGTGGCTTAATGGGATCATGTGCCTCTGACACAAACAACTCTGAGGGGAATGATGTGATCAACAATAGGTTCTGGTTTAGGAAAGACATTTCTTTGGTTATGCTTTGGTGATTGGACACACGTTCACAAATGTGATTCATGTTAAGGTGGTCATTAGCCAGCTTAAATGAAAGGTTGACAACAATGGCTTAGTGTAGCTGTACAAGCACTGGCTGTGAGGCTTAAATACATTTATTACCATGGCTCACATTTAACATAAACATGCATTATATTTATAATATGATTCTGCCTTAATTCAGCCTTCATAAAATCATTTAAAAGTATCCTGGCTTCAATCCCAGGCCTACCTAACATGTGATGGATCCTTATATACTGCACGCAGTCACATGCACAAACAGCAGAAGACCTCATGATGTCCCAGCACGGCTTCTCTCTGTGCTTTGCAAGTTTCATGTGAGCTCAATTTCCTTCAACTATTCTGTTTGAGCAAATTGTTTTTTTCAAGCTCCCCTTCCTATTTAAACAGTCAATTCAACAGGTTTCTCATAGTATTCTGTAACTTAAAATTGTGAAAAAAGCACTTTTTAAATACAGCTGACACTTGATTCAATTTATTCAGTACTTATGACAAAATTAGCAAATTTGCATGTTCTACTATTTCGAGTACAAGTTCTACTATTATGAAAAGTAAGTGTGGTAAAAAATTGTGCTTATAACTAAATTTGTAAACCTAAAGGCATTTCCATCAGCCTCAGATTTACTTTTGCTGATTAGCTAATTTTAGCATGCTTACACACTAAACCAGTGTTCTCAAACTGTTTGGCGGGCCCCGTTGCTGGGGCATAGAGCCACAGTAAAATCTGACTCAAATACTTTTTTAATTAGCTTTGGTTCCCCTATCACTGTTAACAACTTATAACAATTGTGGGGTTGGGGGTGGGAAGGAGGCTGGTTTAAGAGCCACTGCACTAAACAAAGATATTCGGTTAACATTAGCATCTCAGCATTGACGTTGTGAGCATGTTAGCACGCTGCTAGCACGACTACGGAAAGTCAGAGCGGTAAAAATATATTTAAAAAGAATGCCGAAGTTTGTAAGATGCCATACTGTACAAGCAAATATCATACAACAGTGATTCTGTCCTTTTGTATTTATAAGCTTAGTTTAGTTCTAACTCAACTATACTAGTATATTTAGATATACATCACCACAACATTTTAAATACTATATAAAGACTGACAGAACGCAATAAGATGCATGAAATGTGTATCATAGGATAATGATATGTGTACATTTCTCATAATTCCAGATGCTTGAAAATTGATGTACCCACTTGTATGAAAGTATTACAAAACTTGTCTGTAGTGTGAAGACATTATGTGAATGGTAGACATTAGAGGAGGCAGTGGGAGAATGTGCCTGTGAGTTTTGTTGAATAGCCTTTTCTTCGCTTTTTCTTCCTCCTGGCGTCATACAGCTGATAGTTTGTGACCTGGACCTTCACTGTAAAACAAGAAGAGATGCAGATGAACAATCCTGTGTGTGTGAGGATGGGAAAATACACCCCCACATGGATGCCAACAGTGTAAGAATCTGAGCTTCCTCGCCTGCCATGTTTGGACCTTCTTAATTAAGCAGATGTCGGCTGCTATCAAACTCTTAATTTAGACTAATAATCTAATTTAATCTAATAACATTTCAGGGGAAATAGAGCTATACGGTAAATTAGGAAATGAAGTTAACATTTACTGAACATTTACCCGTCATCAGTAACAGCTTTGCACCATGTGATAGTTTGGCAACATGTGATAGTTGAAGATCTGCCCTCCCAAAGCAAATATTTGGTGTTAAAATTAGACGGAAAGTAGGCTGGAAAGGGCAAGAGGTAACTGACCTATGCCAGGAAGACTGAATTTCAACTTTTCAGGACCTCTGACTGTAGAAATGAAACTCGACTTGGCCAGAGCAAACAGTTAATGATTCTTGAAGGATCTTCTCCCTCACCTAAAGAAACCTATTGACCGCTCTCAAGGAATTATATCTTTTTTAGGCTCTTTCAGGCTTCTTTAAGTGCTCTTGCTGTGCGATTAAACGATAGCAAAGAGAGTGTGTTTGAGAGAGACAGAGAGACAGAGAGAGAGAGAGAGAGAGAGAGAGTCCTACCCTGTCTGAAAGGGTATCTCCAGCCTGCCAGATGCTGGTTGGTCAGCTGCTGTTACTGTTGTAATTGGGTTCACATGAGTTGCTGGTGGGACTCATTTCAATCAACAAGCGCAGCAGTCTCTTGTCTGAACTCTGCTCCTTCCTACCAAACTGCCCACCCCAACCCACCTTACCCCACCCCACCCGTACTCCCAGCTCTCTCCCTTCCCTGTTAGACTCCCCAGTCCTCTCTTGATGTGTTCCCTCCCTTCTTATGTTTAGTCACTTTTCTGTTTTTTGTTTTCGGGCTCAGAAGACCACCACCTGAGCCTATAGGCTGACATGTCTCCAGAAAAGGACAGTAATGGTCTTGAAAACTATGCATTTGCAGTAAGTATACCTTTTACTTTACTTTACTTTTATACATTAAAGGATAGGATACTTTAAGCTTTACAATAATCAGAAATAGCTTCACAAGAAAGTTTAAACAAAATTATTGTAACCATTTAGTTGATTTTAAGATTTCAGCATTTCTACCAGTAGATAATTACATGAGAAATTAATCTTTTACTTCTAAATTATGTGAATGTGAACAGACCAGATTGTATGTATAAGTATTACTTGGTGATTTATATCTCCCCTAATCACTGAACTGCTTTGACTGTCTTTTAGTACTCCAGTAGAGACTAGATGCTATGGTCTGTTAATAATTGACACTGGATAGAATAGCTAGCAAAGTAGCGTCATGGATACATGTGAATGTACTTGTTTACATTCTTGCTCCTCCATGCTTCAAATCACGTCATTGTGAAAATAACTGACACACTGTTAAGTCAGAGAAACGGAAGCAGAAACTGTTTTTTTCCCCCTGGTTTCAGTCGAAATCTTAGATAATATGTAACTATATTTTGCATACCTGTATTTTTAACCATTAACTTATTAAGGAAATTATTTTTGCTTTTAACCTGACCAT